AATAATACAATAGAATACAATACAATACATTTCATACAATAGAATCAATTATATTCTATTGTATTCTGAATCATCACAAAAAATCTGGAAATCATATGTTCTTTCCTCAGCAACAACTTCCATACCAAACGGTGTCTTTTTACAGATTTCTCCTGGGTCTTTTTTGAGTTTTGTCTCTTAAATGTTTCAGATAATCCAATAACAGACCAAGATAACACGTGAATAACATCTTTTGGCAAAGCTGATATCCATTTCACTGCCAAACCTGTAAAATAAAGAACTTTTTTAATACAACCTAACAACATGAAAGTAGGCTAAAAGATCTCAAAAAGCAGCATACAATTCCACCGATCTAAAGAAATCTTATAACAGATGTGTTGATGTGAAAACTCTTCAATATGGCTGCGTTAAACAATGCTGGAAAGAAGAGTGAGTCAAAACTCCTTCACAGCGATGTCAGAGATCCATTGACTCTATGTTTAAGAAGATTTTACCTCAGATAATCTCTTTCTGGTTCATAATTATTGGATTGTAATTTGGATTCGCTGTTGACGTTTTCTGATTATTCTGTTTCTGTTTCTGCGTACGATAAACTGTTTCCAGATGCTGTAACTTCCTGTTGTGCGATCAGATGGTATCGTCATCCTATTGTGTGTAATGTTGGACCCTGAGAAAACTAAACTGAGAAAAAAACAAAATAATTTGAGCTTTTGTCATTATGTTTTCTGTTTATTTTATGTTCTATTGCTTGAGATATACTTAAAAGTACATATTTGAATATATATATAACTATAATTCACTCTTTGACCTGTGCATTTTAGGAAAATGTAACATCTTAAAACGTGGAATATACATTTGTGTTGCATCTCCTCCATAAAAACCAATTGAAGTATTTTACAGGCAGAGGTAAAGTGCATGATTCCCTGATCAATCTCGGCCAATATCCAGATTTCTGCTGGCGTAAAATGACATAAAGATGGATGTTTCTGCAGAAGCATCGCCACAGATTGACATGGAATCAAGGGAAGGCGCTTCATAGCTGGCCTGTTTATCTGCAGAGAGGAGAGCCGCTGTGAGAACACATGCGGTTATTAAATCTCCTGAGCCAGACGGGGAATACACACTTAGTTTGTTAGAGAGCGTGTGTGTTTACTGATGCAGAGGACGAGGCTGAAACTTGCCGAGAGCATTACCTCATGAATGTTATCCTTGCTATCTACAGCTATATATTATTTAGTGGTGCTGAAAAGGTAATGTTAAAGCTATAGAGAGTTGCAGCCAAGCCAACATGTAGCTTTTGGCTACAGATCAGACGGTAAGAGAACACAGAAAACGACTTTAAATCACTTGCTCACAGAGGAGTTGTATCATTTGGCTGGAGTTATCGTCTCATTGGAAAATTAAGTCTACTTTTGTGTGTGGGTTTTTTTTATTATTTTTTAAACCACTCGGTGTGGTTTAATAAAATCATGCTCATGCTCCGTGTGAATAAATTATTGGCATTTAAAACATACAAGACAAAAAAAAAAATCTACCCTATGAGATATGCCAGTGTTTACTTTAAGATCAAATGTGAAAGTAAGTTTGAAACTTAAATCTGCCTAAAGGAAAACCCCACTGAAAAAAATATACTTTTAGGACTTTTCAGCTAATTCCCAGAAAAATAGTGTTTGACCACAATTTTTTTTTTCTAATTTAATGTGAAAGTATTCATTTAGAAACAGTTCAGTAAACTCTAATGCCAATTATTTCATGTGGATATTTGAAAAAATAGCAAGACTGTGACGAAAGATGTAACACGAACCTAAATTATGAAGTGGAATGAATAATTATTACGGGGCTTCTCAAATGATCTTGCAAATATACATTTGAAAAGTGTAGCATACGTTTGTGTTCAGACCCCTTTACTGGGTCACATAGTACCATTTTATAGTGCAATCAAGTAACTATGTTACCTTCATTTTCTGTGTATATCAAACAAAAGAAAATTGACTTCACAATTTGACGGCTTGAAATTGACCTCTGTCTCTTTAAGAAGCTCCTACTGTCTCTGACACTTCAGCACGTCGTTTTTCAGTTAAGCCGTGTACAAATGTCCTTCGTAGCATCGGACTGAGAAGTAGTTCCTATGATAAGCCCAGCAAACTCGAAGTTGCTAATTGCTGCTGCCACTAGTCTGTAGGGGCTGTGCAGGCGAGGGACACTTTGTGAGGCCGAATCTCGGCTGGAGAGTGCAGCTCCAAACATTTAGGCACCCCAATGGCTGTCACAAGAGAGTAATTAATTTCTCCAACATTTGTGAAAGAATCAAGGCAACACTTCAGGTATGTTTCTGATGAAGGAATAACATTATAACATCATTTAAAGCTCAAAACGGCAATTTTACATAATACCCCCTTTTTAAATTAAGCATGTTGGATATATGCTTCAAAGCATTCCAGTCTATTAACCCCTTGGAAGACTTTTTTTTTTTTTTGCTGTTTTACATAAGTTCACCATGGCAACATACCTGCTATTAAAAGAATATGCCGCAGCCAAGCTAATTTATTTCAAGTCTGCAGTTAGCAAAAATATAACTGATGCATAGTTTAGCTTAAAATCAAATCCTGATGGTGATATTTTAATTCTATTAAGACTGAAGCAACCTTTATCTGGTTTTTTTTTTTCCTGTTAATATACACTCCTGAAACGCTGCCTCTTATAATAAAGTAATAAAGAAGCTCAGCAGCTAATAGAAAACTTCAGATCTGCTCTTGCTTCATCGCTTCACTGGGAGGGTGATGGGCTCGCCAGCCCCCCCCGTAAGACTCCCCTCGGCTAAAATGTTGTAAATTAACACAATTAGCAGATCACCATTCTGCTAATTAGCCACTGGCGTCTGCAGAGGGACAGTTAAGAGAGGAGAATGAGAGAGGAAATAAGAGTCTGGGGACGGGATCCCCCCTTATTCACTCCCTGCCCGCATTGTTACCAAACAAACACAGAGCCTCGGAGAAGGCAGCAAAAGAGTGTTAATGTGTCGGCTTTTTCCTCCCATGCGTCTGTGTCTGCAGAAGCATAAACGGATGGCAGGAAGGGAATAGATTTTATTTGGCGTGCCTGATTTACTCTCGCAAATAGACGCATGGCAAACCAATTCTGGAGCCGGGGATTGTTCAGCGGACCCCCAGCTGTGGGTCTCTCCGCATGCAACTGCCGCCAGTCAATAAGTCGCAGGAAGCAGCCTAAATGACACCGATATTATCCTTTATTTGTGTGCACTAAGTCAAATCAAACAGGGTTCAATCTGCCGCGCGGCTGCTGTGATTACGCCCCGTCCAGCCTTTGATAGCATCAAGGCTTTGATAGCGAGACAACGATGGAGTCGCTGTGTGACTGTCAGTGTTTGCAGATGGCATTGGCTAGGATTAAAGGAAACAGTGGCTCTCCAGCCTCCTGAGGCAATAAAGGGGAGAGCCAGGTGAGTGTGTTTGAGATGAGATGGAGCAAGGAAGGAGGGGAGGCGAAGAGGAGGGGAGAGGAGGGAAGCGACGCGACGCGAGCACAGGCGGAGTAAATAAGAGGAGGGGCAGATGCACTGAAAAGGGAATGAAAGCAGGGAGATATGTATCGAAATAGATTGAGTCAGAATAAAAGAAGGTGAGAAATAAAGAGAGGGGTGGGGAGAGAAGAAAAAAAAAGCAAAGATGGAAGCAGAAGTGAGGGAAGACGAGGCAACAGGGAGGTACGAAGAAGAGAGGTAGACGGAGAAGAGGAGGTCAAGGTGGAGCCGTGCAGACAGGAACTAAGCTTGAGACACAATGTGTTGTAATTCATAGCTCGCCACAGCTGCTGTGTGCGTGCCTGTGTTTGTCCGTCTGGGTCAGTGGATGCATGCATGTGTGTGCGTGTGCACCACTGCACGCTCGAGTGAAGGCATAGGGCTTTTTTTTTTTAAGTGTCAGTGTGTATGAGCACAGGTTTGTGTGTGTTGAATGAAAGCACTATGAGCAAATCAGTGTGTGTGTGTTGTGTAGTTGTAGTGCGAGGCACATTTTCAAACCCATCTCCAGCCACCTCAGATGAGCTGGGGATTATAGAGTGACCCTCAATGCCTCTGTCTTATTGGTCTGGCTGTGGTGCATTAGGCTGCCAGAAGCAGCCATCCCACTGTCCTCCTCTGCTGCAATACACTGAGCCCTGCAAAAGTATTCACACCCCATGAGCTTTTCCATATTCTGCCATGCTACAACTTCAAATTTTAAGGTATTCTGTCGTAAGCAGTAACAGCAGTTATGCAACTCTGCAAATCTGACGTTTATGGAGAAGTGGCAGGGAAATGCATTGCCGAGGGAAAGTAATCGAGTTTAAAGTTGGTGCATCATGGCAGCATCATGCTGAGGGCATGCTTTCCGTCAGGGACTAGGAAATGTGCTTCCAACAACAGCAAAACACCTTTTTCTCTCTTTCTTTAGCTTGTTGTTTTGTAAGTCTACAAACACACCGTAAATCATATTTGGATTCATATAATGTTAAAATCTTTGCACTCCAACTGGCAGTAAACTTAATTTTGCTCGAACCATTATTTGCATTACTTTGTAATGAGCCAAATCATGAATTTTTATTATGGAAGATTTGATTAACTGTGGATTTGTATGTTCATAGTTACCAGCCTTGTTAATAGTGGCCCAGTCAATGTCCAGACATAAATCTAAGAACGGGAACAAGTCTTTGGAGTTTAGACATACTCCCAAGACTGGCAGCTGAGAAAAAATAACTCATTTTTCTTTCTCTTCACATTTATACCCTACATTGTGTTGGTCTGCGGCATAGAATCCAAGTAATATAGATTAGATTGTGGTTGTAATGGGACAAAATGGGAAAACAGGTGAAGAAGTGAGGAGTACAGTCTCCACTTCAATGTAGGATTTCAGATTTGTTTCAGACAAGTGGATGGTGTTTTTTAATTGATCTCCACGTTGCCTTGTGTGGTAATGTCTCCGTTTCGTTTTTCAGGCTTGAAGATGCAGTGGACCCCCGAGCACAGCCAGTGGGCCGAACAGCATTTCGACATCTCCTCTACCACCCGCTCCCCAGCCCACAAGGCTGAGGCCTACAGGGCGGTGTCAGGCCACCTGCAGCGGTCTGCCACCTACCAGTACGCCTGGGCCAATGACGACATATCTGCCCTCACTGCCTCCAACCTGCTCAAGAAGTATGCCGAAAAGTACTCTGGAATCCTTGAGATGCCCGCCTCTTACTCTGAGGTGCCTGGAGTCCCTGGGGTGATGAATGGCCGGAAAGGCGAGTCAGAGCCCTGGCAAGATGGTGTCTACCCCATGAGCTGCATCCCAGAGGGAGTTTCTGTCAGAAAGGGAGGTGTTGCTGCTGCGTCTGAAGTGGTCTCTGGGATCTGCAGCTCCCCAGGCCTGGCTTCCAGCACCCTCAGCGAGCCCAGCTACTCCAGCAGCAGCTGTGGGAGCCACTCAGCCACTGCGCTCCACTCCTCCTCCATGACGTCTCAGGAATACGGCCCCACGTACAGCGGCTCCTACCTGCACAGTAGTTACAGCTCCCAGTCCGCCCCCGCCGCTGCCCTTCCCTCCCCACTGCACAGCTCTGGGCTCTTACAGCCCCCTCCACCTCCTTCCCACCCCACCATTGTTCCAGCTTACAATGGAGGCTCCCCCAACTTGTCTAGTTATAATTACCCCCCAGCTGGCTACCCAGCTCAGAGCTCAGTTGGGCCGGGATACAGCCCTGGAGGAGCGCCCCCTCCTTCTTCGTACCTCCCCTCAGGCATCGCTGCCCCTACTCCTCTCCCCCCTTCTTCTGCTTTACCTGGATACCCATACCAGAGCCACAACCTGACCCCAATTGCCCCCACTCCCCTCAACAGCAGTTCCTCCAACACATTGAAAAGGAAGGCCTTCTATATGACAGGCCAAGGAGAGATGGACACGTCTTACGGGAACTTTGGCTATCCCCAGGCACGAAGCTCAACAGAGAGTCCCATGTACAGGGTGGCGGACAGCAGCAGTGCAAATGGGGGCTCTAACAGTGGGGGTGGCGGTGGCTTCGACAGGAATCCGGAAAAGTCATCTTTACCATTTAATCCTCAGAAACAGTCTGCAATGCCATCAGAGCAGCAGCAGAGAAAGTACGGCAGCCAGGCAACAGGTGGGCCACTTACCCCACCAGCCTATGTCTCCTCAACCCTGGGGGGCTCACGGTCAGCAGACTCTCTTGCCAGCTTCACCTCCCCCTCTCTCAGTGAGCAAGGTGCTGATGATCACCGCCTCCACCTTTCCCACTCAGCACCAGGGCCTACCTCCTCCTCCTCTTCCGCTTCATCCCGCCCTGCCGAGGAGCAATTAAAAACCTGCGACCCTCACCTCCTGGACCTTGTGACCTCAGAAATCATTCAGCAGGGCCCTCCTGTGGACTGGAGTGACATCGCAGGTCTAGACCTGGCGAAAGTTACGTTGAAGGAGGAGGTCCTGTGGCCCATTCTGCGTCCAGACATGTTCAGTAGTTTAGGACCAGCACCTCGCTGCGTGTTGCTGTTTGGCCCGAGGGGCAGTGGCAGGACGTTGCTAGGCCGCTGTCTCGCCAGTCAGCTAGGAGCGACGTTTCTCCAGCTCAGCGGCTCTACTCTGGCCACCAAGTGGCTGGCGGATGGAGAGGAAATTATCCGTGCGTCATTCCTGGTGGCCCGTTGCCGACAGCCATCGGTGCTCTTCATTAGCGAGGTGGACATGCTCCTGTCAGCTCATGTCAGTGAAGAGAGTCCAATCACCCGACTGAAGGGGGAACTACTCACCCAGCTGGACTCTCTCCTTATGAGCTCAGGTGAAGATGGAAGCAACCAAGTCCTAGTCATTTGCTCCACAAGCAGACCTCAAGATATGGATGAAGGCCTCCGGAGGTACTTTACTCGGAGGGTACTGGTGCCCCTACCGGACAGCGCAGCCCGACACCAGATCATGAACCAGGTTCTGGCCCAATCCCAGCACAAGTTCTGCTTAAGCGAGGAGGAGCTGGCACTGCTTGTGCAGCGCACCGAGGGTTTCTCTGGACTGGATTTGGCCAGACTCTGCCAGGAGGCCCTTGTAGGTCTGTTACATGTCTCAGCACAGAGCATGGACATGACGGGCATGATGCCCCGGGGCCAGATGAGGCCCCTCACCTACCAGGACATTGAAGGTGTCTGTTGTAAATTCCAAGCCAGTATATCGCAGAAAGAGATTGACACTTACACCGAGTGGAACAAAATGTTCGGCTGCAGCCAGTGAGCAAAATAGGCACTGCCCTTGAGAAAAAGAGGCTTCCACAATTCCTCCCCTCAGGGCATAAGCGTTGCGCTAGAGGGAAAAGCCGACAGAAGGCCGACACGAGCCCGCTGTGTCCTCACAGAGACCTGGTTTGATTCAACAACAAGCAGTTTTGCTGTTAATGAGACAATTTTCAATCCAAATGCTTGACAAGCCAGGCGCCGTTTACACATTTCAAACAAGTCAGCTTTGCGTGAGATGCCCTGGTGTCCGTGTACATATATCGTATGTCGTCGTTTCTTGAGATTTAGTTGGCTTTCCAAGTGCCTGAAGTGGTGCTTTCTGAGTTCTCTTAATTTGCCTCACAATCGAAATTCATGGCATGAGCTGATGATTATTAAGAGCTTTAAACCTTCAGCAGAGAGTCTGGAAAACAGACTGACAGTTAGCGGCGGGGGTGGTTATTCATCCTTTATAGTCTTTTGTTGCGGCAATCCATTTCGGTGGCGGAAGTCTGGGCCCTACGTCGCGTGTCTGCAAAATAAACAAACGTAACAAACAAGCAAATAACACTCAGGAAAGCATTTGTAAATTGTATAGTACCTCTGAAAATCTCGACAAAAAGCACTAAGATTTGAGAAGAGAATCTTTCACATTTAGGCGGACCTCAAGGGGCTAGGATAAAAATCACAAAGAGGTGACAATGAATGTATTAGATGTGTTCTGATTGGTGGAACATGATCTACACTGAGAGTAAAGCGTTACATCTTTATTTTCCCATCAGAGCAGGCTCTTTAGTTGCCTGCATCTTCTTGACCAATCCTGAAATGTATTTCCTTCGTTCTGCAAACACTGTTCTGCTGCCTTGCTGAGTCTGAGACTTTAGAAGCAGGCAGGTGTGTTGAGGCTGGTAGGTGTTGTAGATAAATATTGTTCATATAACACACTCTACGCTGTTTGATCATGCTGCTTGGAAGCTCCGTCAGTTTATCTGGCATTTATTTATTTATTTTTGTTTTGTTTTTGTCATTGTACTTGTAAGATTGTAGTACAGCGTTACGCAAAATTTCAATTTGAAAATATACACGTGAGTGAGCTTAACTACAGCCATATGAGACCTTATCACTCCATTTTTTATATAAAATTAACACCCTCTGCCAGCATGCCTAGGTGGGCCCCATATGGGGTTTGTCCGCGGGTTCAACGGTGGCCCCACATGGGTTTGCCCATGTAGGGCCCCATATGGGGCCCACCTAGGCATGCCATCTTTCTAAAGTATATGAACTTTTCCACAATTTGTCACATTACAATAAATAGTTTTGACCCAAAACCCCCAAAAAACTGAAAAGTGTGGCAAGCATTTGTATTTCACAACTCTTTAGGTGACTTTTGAAGGTCGATTTTATTTTAGAATCGTTTAAGAGTTTTCCAATACATCATTAAAAACCCATTTAATCTCTCCGTAAGTGCGGTTGTTCTGTGAAACACGGTGCTGGCAGCATCATGCTGTAGAGATCCACGTCTTCAGGAGGGACAGGGAAACTACCCTGATCTGATAAAGAATGTACATAGCATGTTTACATGCAAAGAGATACCATTAAAAGCATGGGGAAGATATGCCCCACTTTTTAAAATTTTACATGTAAAACATTTGAAAAAAACTTTCCACCCATCTCACAATTATGCTCTATTCTTTGTCAGTTTATTTCAGTGAAATACATCACACAACAAACTTTAATGAGTTCTATAGGTGAGGATTTTTTCATAAGACACTGTTCATGTCTTAAAGTGGAAGGTTACTACCATTACAGTATCAAAAATGACTCCCTGTAGGGGGTTTTGACATCATTTGTTATCATCCAGGAAATTGATGTTTGGCAGCTGATTTGCTGTTTCTAATCTTTTCTCTGGAAATGTTGCTGAACTTTAAGACAGTAACATTGAAACACCTGCTCATTTACGCCCATAAAAAGGTCAACTAAGTTACATTAGCTGGTTAGGTTGATCTGTTTTGCTGTAATTTTAAACAGTACCAACAGTAGGAAAAGGAGTACAGTGAGGAAACAAAGGTTGTCCATAAGTTTTGGCTTTCTTTTCTTAAACTAAAACAGGATTATTTTCATGTAGGACTGTAAGAAAAATTTTTATGCATTTTGTCACGTTAACATACTGTGATTTCATGTGATGGAACAACACAAAAGCAGTGCAACTGGTACTTGTGAAGTGGAAGAAAACATCTACATGGTTTCCAGAATGTTTTTACAAATAAGCATCTGTAAAGTGACAGTCCTGAATACATCAATTTGACTCTTCATGACATCCTTACAAAGTTATGTAGGAGACAATTCGAAACTGGTCATCTTGTTATATTAGATGGAAATTCAACTGTTTGCTTCGCATGCAAAACATTAAATGGGATCCAAAATTAAACCCGCTGTACAAACAGTGAAACATGGGGGTGGCAGCATCATTCTGTGGGAACGCCTTCCATTCGTGTTCGAGAATCTGTGGCTACAATAAAAGGACTTAAAGCTTTTTGACTCACGAGAGGCTGATTTCAACTGTACGCCACACTTTTTAGATTTGTATTTACAAAAAAAATGTAAATACATCTATACTTCCAATTCCCAACTTTGCAGTACTTTGTGTTTGTCCATCACATACAATCCCTACGAAAAACTCTGAAATTTGACTATTTTTCTTTCTGCATAGCTGCATTGTCATTTGGATTTGTTCATATTTTTCAGATGAAAACAAAGAGAAACTAGCACAAATCTTCAAGGTCCTTTACTACAGTGAGTCCTCCATTATTTGCTGTATTCCATCAGGAATGTGTGTCCTTTACTTGCCAGCTCCACCGGGAGACCGTATTTTTGTGTGCAGTTATCCTGACGTCATTTTTTTCTTTTTCTTTTTTTTTTTTTTAAGTTTAACCAAACATTTACTGAATCGCGGTTATCTGTAGTGTGTGATCGGCCCCACTTTCATGAGCACCGCCGGTGCAGCACCTGACGTAGAGGGTAGGAGGATTCTGCTGAGCATCAGCAAAACCGATGGCGAGGAGAGAGATAGGCAGGCAGCGTGGCAGCAGCACAAGGGGGAAAGCAAAGTAGTCCGTCAGAAAACCACCCTCAAAACAATCTGTGCGAGAATTCCTTCTGTCAGCAAATCCTCTGGAGAAAGAGTCTCTTTGGACAGAAAAAAAACCCCACTAATGCACTTCAGAGCGCACAACAGCAGCGCAGGCGTTCCTTTTCTCCCCTTGTTCTCTACAGCGGACCAACAAACGACTTGAAACGCGGCGGTCAATGCTACGCTTCGGTTCTAACATGCTCTCTGATCCTTCTCCTCGCGTTTAGTCTTATTTTCCCTCCACGCCGTGCAAACCTAGGCTGTTGGTTTTTTTTCTCCTCCTGCCTTTTCAGTTGTTACTTTAAGCGTTTCTACCTCATAGCTGCAGAACACTTGTGCTTTTTGATCTGCGTGTTTCCAAACATCAACATTTCAGAGAAAACGACTAAAAAAACAAAAAAAAACAAACGGAGAACAGGAGAGAGTACCACCATAAAGTTTGCGCAGTCTACCTCAGATGACTGTACTTAACAAAAAACATTTAGCTGATGGTGCAACCGCAGGCTGCAGCATAGCCTAGACTGTGCGCGCGTGTGTGTCACCGTTTGTCCGATCCGAGCTATTTGCAGCACACACACACACGCTCTCAAGACGATGCGGACATGAAAAAAATAAATAGAAAAAATAACCTCGCAAGCAATTTGTGAGGAGTTGGGGGTCAACTTAAAGGTGACCTGGAAATGTATAATCCAATACATTTGTTTTAATCCTTTGTGAACTACTGTGGTTGTGCGCGTGTGAATGTGTATATACTGGGCACACTCCTCTTATTTTTTCTTTTTTTTATTTTCATTTAGTGTGTGGAATTTTATAAATCGTTAGTATATATAACACACTTGCACAACTTTAAAACAGAGTGTAACGTGTTTCTGTTGTACATACCTATACATACAATACAAATGCACCACTTGTTTATATGTGTGAATATGTTGCCATACTTGCAGTCAACTTAAATGTATTTTCATGTAATCTGAGGTACAAACAGCAACAAACGATTCATTAAAGACGTTTTCTTGGGAGATTGTATCTTGTTTTCTTTTTCTGCGTAACAATGATACTCTAAGGGATGAACCGGGGTAAGGAAGATTAATAACAGAATGTATTTATCAGTACAGTGGATAAATAAATGTATTGTCCTGCCAAAAAAATAGCCAAGCTGATAAATCGCCTTAATGAGCCTTGAGTTAGTCACCCTTGTGTGCAATTAGAAACCCATCCGTGTTGCGCAGGAAGCCGGCGCTGTCGCTTCTCTCATTAAAATGTAACAATTCATTTCTCTCGCCGTGCTAAGAGTGGCAAGACCAAAACATTAAAGCATTAATTATATTTCTCGCACACGACGAATTTGGATTATGCAAGCGCTCTTAATGAAAATGATGTGCATTTGCCCGCTCCATTTCCAATGTATCATTATATAGCTGCCGGTGAGGTGTGGGAAGCTGCTGTATAGCCTCTGTAATTATCTGTGAAAACTCCAAATGCTTCACAAGAGGTTAAAGTTCACCAAGAGCTGCTGTTTTCTTTAGTTTCCCACTTAGAGATATGCTATAGCCATCAGAAATCAAACTCTTTGTTTCCCATATCCATGGCAAAAATAAAGATCATTTTCTGCAAAGAAAATAAGCCAGACTGGGAACACCCAAGTGGTCATTTGCATATTTCTCATCGCACAAAACTCTTAAGGGGGCTAATAACATGGACTTGCATTTTTATAACTTAACAGACAATGGTTCTAAAATGGGGAAAAGGAGAAATGCTAATTTTAAGTTGTGAGAGAGTCTTTATATCTTGGTGTTTTTCTCGAAAAAACATTTGCAGGATGATGTGGAAGCCAACTGGGGTTTTGTCTGAAGAGAGGAAGTGTCAGTCTGTCATAGTAAGTGAGATTAGCCAAAGGGCAAAGATCTCAGTTTCCTGCTTTATCTACGTTATCAAGCAAAGGAGCTGAAGTGTCTTGCTGTCTTGTTCACGAGTGAATGCAGGATGTAGCAGAAGACAGACTTATTTGAGCTTTGTCTGCAGTGAAGAAGGCGTTGCTCCAGGTTGTTTTCGCATCCAAGAGGCAAGGTTCTCAAAATTGCCTGGTTTACCGGCTTTCTCAAACAGAGGAGTACAAGTATTTTGGGTCTTTTTACAAATGATGTCAGGATTGATCAGAATAATAGACGATTT